TTTTTTTTTTTTTTTTTACCCTGTGAAATGTACCCAGGAGCCAACCGAAGTACAGGTTCCTCGGGGTCTGCATTTCATAAGGGCATTTGAAGCAGTTTGGAGCAGGTGGTCCTGGTCCTTCCTGCACTCGAGAAACCCTGGTCCACCCTCTCAGACTAGAACATTTCCTTAGTCCCCGGACCACCCTCCTCTGGAGGCCGGATGTTAAGAGCCCACCCCCTCCTCTCCCAGGGAGCAGTGCCTTGATGAATCCTGTCCTCAGGGCAGGGAAGAGAGAAGACACGAAGCCACAGCAGGGGCATATGGCTAACTAAGGAAGTGGGGATCTGGGGAGTGTCCAGGAGTCTAGAGGCCACAGAGGTACGGCTCTGGGACCAGTGGAGGTGGGGAGGGGGGCACTGTACCCCATCACAGCAGTGAGCCCCAGTGACCAGTGGCAGCAGGAGAGAGAGCAGCGGCGTCCCAGCCGGGGACAGCCTCCCTGGATGGTCCCCGTGGCGCTGGTCTGACGGGCGGCTCCCCACACTGTCTCCTAGATCGATGGCTCAACTCTGCGTACTCTGTGCATGCAGCACGGCCCACTGATAACATTCCACCTGAACCTCCCACATGGAAATGCTCTGGTCCGTTACAGCTCAAAAGAAGAGGTAGTGAAGGCACAGAAGTCTCTGCACATGTAAGTTCCGGCCGGTGCAGGACGCCCGCAAAGCGTCCTCACAATGCAAGAGTTTGGGGTTCTCTGTGCGAGGGCACAGCCGATGACACTGTGCGGCGTCTCCGGGCCCGCGTGCGGGGCCCCGCGGTGAGAGCGCCTCACAGGGCGGCAGCCTCGCCGTGTCTCGGGCTCCCGGGTCAGTACTCGGAGGCGAAACGTCTTCCGCCACAGTGGCCCCCAGACCTCTTCAGTCGCCTGTAGGAGACCGGAGCCTTGGTCTTGGTGGCACAGCCACACTCCCGGGGCAGCTTTCGCCCCGGCAGCCGGCCTGTCGCCGCCTCCCCGCCTCCCCTGACCCTTGGAGCAGAGGCTGAGTTCTCCCCCCACTTGGGGTCAGACCCCTCGACACCCTGAGTTTTCACCACGCCCCGTGTCTCTTCCCTCCAGGTGTGTATTGGGGAACACTACTATTCTTGCTGAGTTTGCCAGTGAAGAGGAGATCAGCCGTTTCTTTGCACAAAGTCAGTCTCTGACCCCTTCTCCTGGCTGGCAGTCTCTTGGGTCCAGCCAGAGCCGGCTGGGCTCCCTCGACTGTTCGCACTCGTTCTCCAGCCGGACCGATCTCAATCACTGGAATGGTGCTGGGCTGTCGGGAACGAGCTGTGGAGACCTTCACGGCACTTCACTCTGGGGGGCCCCCCATTATTCCACAAGCCTGTGGGGGCCTCCCAGCAGCAGCGACCCCCGGGGAATGAGCAGCCCGTCCCCCATTAATGCTTTTCTTTCTGTTGACCACCTGGGTGGGGGTGGAGAGTCCATGTAGCGCGTAGACGCAGACTCACGAACTGTGACCTCAAGACGCGAAAGAAAGGAGCACTAAGTTGGGCTCGCCGCCTGCAGCCAGGGGCCACCTGTGGGAACAGCTATTCTCTGCACATTTTCCACTTTGTTTTCCCTGAAACATATCAGTTTGAATACTTGAATCATGCAGGCCAATATTATAATGTGAAAAGGTATCTATCTATTTACACTCCCAAATAGCGCCATACATGCTAAACCGTATAGAATGAGCTCACGTGTATAGTCATCATGTTTAGCCTTTGGGTTTGGTTTCTTTTTGTTTTTTTATTTTTTGCCTTCCTTGTTTCCCTCCCCATCCCTTACCCCATTTTCATTTTCTTCCCCCCCCTTTCTTTTTTTTCTTTTCCTTTTTTTTTTTTTTTTTTTTT